TTGGACTTGGTGCACGAGCATACACTCGGTGGTTTGACTCGGACTCGATGCACGGGCACGCACTCAATGGTTCGGCTCCAACGGTCGGACGAGAGTCGAGCACATGTGCGAGATGACTATACGCATTACGAGTTAATGATACGACGTCTAAAAATTATTTAAACGGCGCTAGGGTTCGGTCTGTTAAACTCGGATTCAAAATAATACCCGGTTATCGGAACTGGATAAAACTAGGGTTTCTGATTCTCAAAAATCCTAACTCGTTTAAAGATGATACTTAAATCATAATTTCTTGGTGATTTATAAAGATTTTACATCTATCAACTATAGCTAAAATCACAACCGGCTAATTTCCACAATTATCGCATTTATCGGCTAAAGTCCCAATTTATAATCTAAGTCAAATGGTGTCCAAAATTCACGAAATTCGAAACACAACATCCTCAACACATACATGGTCCATGGTCAGAATATCGAGTCAAAAGTCAACTCCTAACCCATTTATCTATTAATCGCTTCAACCGGTCAACATACTCAAATATCGTGTTCGCCTATCAAACGAACTCTAAAAATTTTCTCGTTCGCATCTTAAGCCTCAAGACAACACCAAGAATTTTATAAAATTTATTTCGTATTTATATTTAAAAAGTCCGAAAAATCAACTTCAACTCGATAAATCCCGATAAATTCAAAATCGCTCAAATCACCAACTTATCATTTTCATAATATCTCAATGATTATATCTAAGCCATTGGAGTTGAGTTCAAGTCATTCTACCTCAAATAGAAGATCAAAATTGAGAAAGCTAGGGAAAAGGAAGCGGAGCTTGAACCGGGTCGAGTCTAGGGTTGAACCACTCAATTTTGGCGTGTCGGTCCTGGGTGCTAACCGGGTCAAAGCTGAGGCTGGGCGAGTCAACTCAGTCTGAGTCAACTAGGTACTGAGTTAACTGGGTCTGAAACGACCGAGTTTCAGGTCGGTGGTGGATAGGAGGCGGCACATGGCCGCGAGTAGGTCAGAACCGGGACAGATTGCGGCGGACTCGGGCTGGACGACACTGGAATCGGCTGACTCGGTCGTGACTCGCCGCTGGAATCGGGTTGAACGAGCGCGGCGGAACTCGGCTGGGCTGCACGTGTACGGGGTTGTTGAGTCGTCGGAGGTGCGAAATGAGGTCGGCGAAGGGGCGCTGGTCGGACTGGGCTTGTAAACTTGAGCTGGAACCGGACGGCTGCGGGCCTAGGGCTTCGTTGCGCGAGCTCGGGTAGCTCCTGGGTGGATGGTGAGTCGCGGCGAGCCTGAGGCGTGGACAGCTGTGGACGACACGGGTGAGAGCTCGGTGTAGGTCTTGCTGAAAAATGGCCGGATTTTGAGTTGGTCGGACTTGTGCGAAGATGGTAATGAGCTTGGTCTGGATTTGCTAAGGATAGTGCTCTTGAATGATAATGGCTCTTGAATGGTGGTTATGGTTTATGTGGAAGAAGATGAATAGTGGTGTTGGGAGATATTTATAGTGGTAGGAAATTTAGGGTTTGCGTACCTTATTGGGCTCGAAATTGGGCTTAGTAATTGGCTTATGAATTAAATCGACTTGGGCTCGATTTAATCAACGTTGGCTTAGGAAGTAATGATCAATTAATAAAATTTATCGAACTCAGACTAAATAAATTAGTCGATCAGATTTACTAAAATAATTGGGCTCGAATTTTAAAATCGACTATAAGCTCGATTTTTGAATGGACTAAAATAAAATCGAATTTGGGCTCGGTTTACTAAAATGAAATGGCCGAAATAAAAATCAAACATAGGCTCGATTAACTTAAATGGGTCGGCTAGAATAATTAGATTTGCTCAAAATTGATTGGGCTCGAATAATTACATTTTTCGGCTTCGATTAGCTTTAATAGAATCTTGATTTAAAAATATAACTGATACATGGGCTAAATAAATTTGACTTTAATAACTAAAATCAATTAAGTTCTCCATGGCTTAGACTTAAATACTAATTATTAAATTTAATGCAATAAAAAATAATAAATGCATCAAATTAGGAAACTTGCTATTTATGGAAATAAAGTCGAGCTCCATAAGTAGTAATTAATATTCTGGGCGTTACAAATAGGATCACATACAAATTTTATCTAAAAATAGTGACTTTAAGACCATGGGTTGAATTCAAGTCCATCTGGGACTGAGTCCGAAGACTCTCCTAAAACCATGAATAGATCGGGTTACCTGACAACCCTCCCCCTACGACGAGGTACTATCGGCTCAGGTGGAGCGACGAACGAGGTTAAGCCGGTACTCACCGAATATGGAATGAGTTGGTACTCACCGAATATAAGTATTGAAGACAAGTAGTTTGTACAAACTCTGATGAACTTCAAAAAATATTAAACTGGTAAATTATTCACTGAATACTTACTTTACACTCACGGTGAATCGCCGAACGAGGTCAACTTGTTTGAGTAAACAAACAAAACATCTCTTGGTGAAACGCAAAGGCCAAACCATTAGACAACTACAAAAATATCACTCACGGTGAAAAATTGAACGAGGCAAAACCGTTTTGAGTACAAAACCTTACATCTCACAGTGAAACGCCAAACGAGACCAAACAGTACGAGATCAACAAACTTTACACTTACGTTAAAATGTCAGACGATGCCAAGTCACTCGAGTACAAAAAAACAAACTTACATAACAAAGTGAAATGCCAAACACATCCAAACCATTAAAGATTAACAAAAAATTACATCTCAAGGTGAAACGCCAAAACGAGGCCAAACCGTTCAAGATCCACAAAATCTTATACTCATGGAAAAAATGTCGATTGTGGCCAAAGTCACTCAAGTATAAATACAAAATTATTCTTGGTGAAAACACAGACAATGTTGAAACCCTCGAATGAAAATAAAACAATATTAAGGTGAAACGTCGACCTTATGAGATCTACAAACAAAAAACAAATTGCGCAAAGATAAACTTACTCTAAAAGGCTAAACTTAGCTAAGGCCTTCAAAACATAACATGGAATAATATTTTTCACCCATCAAGTGAAATTATGAGAAATTTCCTCATGGACCTTGACGTGGTATGAAGTTTGCCCACTGTAATTATAGTTTCCTGTGATAACAATAGAGCAGTAGCAAGCTTGAAGAAACCACAAACTCATAAAGCGAGTACACACATAAAGTGCGAGTACCACCTGATATGAGAAATCGTTGGACGAGGGGAAGTCGTTGTTGGCAAGATACAGTAAGAAAACAACCTAGCAGATCCTTTTACTAAGAGCCTACGAAGGTCTTTGAACGACACGTAGAAGAAATGAGAGACAGACGTTAGGGCGACTTGATGACTAATCTTTGGGATTTAGATTGAAAGAGAATTATGGTTAGTGATAGTAGTGAGCTTTTATAGTATAAGTGAGAAATTGCTAAGATATACTGTAAAAGCTTGACTTTCAGTTTCTAGCAATTTCTTTTTTATCTGACAATCAAGTTTTAGTCAAAGTATTTATCTTTGCAAGTTTATTTATTTATGCAACCATAATTCTCTTTATTTCACATTGTAGATATTGTGGTTAGATGTGTCGAATAGAAAGATCATATTTGTTGGGATCGGTGAGGATCTCGTTATGACAAATCATGAATTCAATAGCAAACGCAAAACATGTGCGCAATGGAACTAAATGTGACATAGAAAACTTACGACTTAAAATATTCTAAATCTGACGGATTCCGGATGACCGGGATGAATAGTACACGAACACGTCGAGAACATGAACGGAACGTCGGGAACACGAATGGAACGTCGGGATCGTCAAACATATCGCGTGGGTCTACATGTCGCGTCGCAAGGTCGAGTCGCATCAAGCTCCAGTCGGCGGCAATCTCCACACAGCGTTGTCCGGCTGGTCGAGGTCGGCAGTCCTCGGCCTCCTGGTCGTGGCTCGTCGGCTCCGGTTGATCTCTGGGGTTGGATATATATTCTTCCAGGGTTATTGAATATTGATATGGGATATTATATACGTAAAGCTAAAACGGTCTTCTGGGCCGGTCGAGAAGGTTAAACCAAGAGGGAGCCGAGCCAAAAGGCGGGAAGATCGAACATTCAGGGAATCGACCAGAGCCAATGATCGAGCAATCCATCGCTCGACCAGACTAATGATCGAGCAATCCATCGCTCGACCAGACTCATGATCGAGCAATCCATCGCTCGACCAGGCTAATGATCGAGCAAGCTAGTCGATCCCAGTGGGGTGATCGCTTCGAGGAATTCGTAATCGACCTAGTTATGGGCGCGTGTACCATAGGCGCGCGTGGGAGCCTCTGACTGAAATCTCCAGAGAATATTTACCCCATGTGCTGGGGAAACACGTGTCGACAATGTATTGGGTGATGGTGATAACTACCTCTGACAACTCCCAACGTCTGGCGCCACCTCTGACATGTGGGCGGCGTGTCAGAGTACGGACGGGCAGCTTGGGCAGCCAACTCACCTCATTCGGGCAGCTCTTAGGGCAGGTATCTCACCCCTATATAAAGGGGGTAAGCCTTTCTTCCCAAACACATTCTATTCACTCTCTGAATTCCAGTATACATATACACATACTGACTTAAGCATCGGAGGCTCTTCACCGGACACAACCCCCGGTGTGAGAGTTATTTGCAGGTTTCCGGCGTTCTACCGGCGAGGACCAAGATCTATCCGTCCAAACCGCACAGGGACGCTTACACTTGCATTATTGGCACCGTCTGTGGGGATTCTTTGTTTAAAAAGTTGTGTTTGAAGCTCAGCTATGGCGGACGGAATTCCTAAAAACTTGCAGTCGACGTTCGACGAAGCTTGGACGACGACAAGGCCGTTGGGGCACGGTCCTCCTCTGGGTTTCTCTGGCCCATCGCAGACTCCGGTCACTCTCGCACCTAACTTCCAAGGTGTAGGAGTAGCGACGGTGATTCCCGGCGGAGATGCCAGCTCCAGTCAGGCCCAAGAAGCTCGTGTAGCAGCGGCAGCGGTGATGCCACCACCACCACCACCAGATCCAACGCAACGGCAGGGAGGAGTGCTGGCACAAGGAGGAGTGCCACCACAGGTAGCCGTACAAACCCCGGGCCAACAAATGGTGGCAATGACCCGGGAGGCAATGACCCCGGAGTCCTCCTCACTACAAACATCATCATCACACTCCTCCACAACATCACCAACACCGTCATCACCACTCGGGTCAATCAAATCATCAAACAAATTTTTCCCAAGTCCATCAACAACATCAATCCCCGAATCCGTACAATCCTCCTTAATAATCGAATCAAAGTCCAATGCACCATCAACAAAAGAGAGATTTGACGTACCTATCGTAGATTGTAAGGCCACGTCGTCAATAGGAGGAATTTCTTTAACACTTAGCTCGTCAATGTCCTCAATCATCTCGAGAGGTTGTGTTCCATCGTACACAATAGTGAGGCTCATTTCTTTCAAGG